TTATTAAATTGTTTACTGCAACTATATGGTTAAATGCTTGGATTTAAATTGCTGAAGCTTTAAATATTTTTCTGCAATTGTTTGGATGGTAGTTTTTGGTCTGTAAATTATTGAACTGTTATATATGTTGTAATTTACATGGATATGGAGGATGGTATGTACCGGTATGAGACGGTGACATACTAGGGACGGTTTAGCTCAAAACGCATAAACCTAACCTAATGGATTAATGGAATGGATTGAAAGATATCGAATCCTAATTGTGACTAAGTCAGATCAGCTGTAAACAAGTTGGATGACTTCCTGGATTAACAGATGGTAATTAAGTCATATCAACTGAATAAGTTGAATGACTAACTAGTTGGTTTATTGTATGACAGTTTAATAAATAGTTGAACTGCATACCCTGGATTTGGACGGACTTTATATATATGGTTATAGTACCACGAGTTGAGCTTGAGTCTCAGACTCGTTGGTTAAGGTGCGTATATGCAGTGGATGCGTAGCTGGTTATAATAGGTTGAGGTGTACCCTGTTAGGTCTAGGTACTCATGCCCACATTTGGGTGCGTATTCGCATGTTGCCTTCTGTTCAGGTTGAGACCCCTATTATAGACTGGTGAATGTCCCTTAGTGTGGATATATTTATACGTAGGACTAGATAGATATTGTGAGGTGTCTACGGTGTATCTGCGTATCGGGTCACTGTATGGATTGCAGTTAGATTAGAACTTGCTCGTGGGTCTGACCCACTCCTTTATTATTCTTTTCAGGTACAGGACGGTTCCAGCCTTAGAGCTTGATCGTGCTTGTCGAGGATAGTCTCACCTTCATCTGATTACGTAGGACTTCTCTCGATATTTCTAGCATTATCTATTTTCAGTTTTCAGTTTTCAGTTTCAGTTGAACTTTTGGTTAGGGGTCCATCAGTGGATTCCCAAGTTGTAACCTTGAAGTTTTGGAGGATTGGATTTTCAATTTTCAGTTATACATGGAGGATTTTATAATTAATGTTACTTTCAGTTTATTCCATCACTTTTGTTTCATTTTGTCATCTGTGTTCGCTTTAAAATACTTTAATTGTTTGATATTCCCTCGGGTTTGGGCCTGGGCCTGATCAACCCGTGTCTCGGATCCGAGGGGTATCACAAAAGGTGACCTGGGTGAAGCTCGTATTAATCTACTTCCCTTGTTAAAGGGTGAGATAAGTGAAGCTCATAGTAATCTACTTTCCTCGTAAAAAGATGAGGGGTTAACTACTTCCCTTGTTAAAGGGTGAGCTGAGTGAAGCTCATAGTAATCTACTTCCCTCGTAAAAAGATGAGGGGTTAACTACTTTCCTTGTTAAAGGGTGAGTTGAGTGAAACTCATAATAATCTACTTCTTCTGTTAAAGGGTGACCTGGGTGAAACTCGTATTAATCTAGTTCCCCTGTTAAAGGGTGACTTGGGTGAAGCTCGTATTAATCTACTTCCCTTGTTAAAGGGTGAGATGAGTGAAGCTCATAGTAATCTACTTCCCTCGTTAAAAGGTGAGCTGGGTGAAGCTCATAGTAATCTACTTCCCCTGTTAAAGGGTGAGCTGAGTGAAGCTCGTATTCATCTACTTACCTTATTACGAGTTACGTGAAACTCGTCTTAATCTACTTTCCTTATTAAAGGGACGAGCCGACTAAAGATGTCAATAAAATCAAGTATAAAATAACGGTAGCATGCCAGCAGGGCAGCTTGCCAAATAATGGGAGCATGCCAGCAGGGCAGCTTGCCAAATAAAGGCAGCATGCCAGCAAAGCAGCTTGCCAAATAACGGCAGTATGCCAGTAGGACAGCTTACCAAATAAAAGCAGTATGCCAGCAGGGCAGTTTGCCAAATAAAGGCAGCATGCCAGCAGGGCAGCTTGCCAAATAACGGCGGCATGCTAGCATAACAGCTTGCCAAATAAAGGCAGCATGCCAGCAGGGCAGCTTGCCAAATAAAAGCAGCATGCCTGCCAGGGCAACTTGACAAATAACGGCAACATGCCAACAGGACAGCTTGTCACGGTAGCATGGCATGGCAGCTTGCCACATAACGGTAGACTACCAGCATGGCAGCTTGCCACATATACGAGCTGCCAATGTGGCACTACGACAAATATACAAGCTTGCCAATATACGACAAATATACGAGCTTGCCACATATACAAGCTGCCAATGTGATACTATGACCCCCGACTGTATTCGCGAAATGACAATATAAGTCAGGCTAATGGACAAGGCTCTGCAATTCTAACTATATATTATTATGTGATATTTTGGAATTAACGTTCCGGTGGTTTGACAAACAATCCTCCGAAACGGGGAGCAACTGATGGATGTATAATTTAAATATCCATAATTAAGGGAAGATTACTAAATTAACGCACTATTGAGATAGGTTCTGCAGAATACGATAAGGATTAAAGATTACAATGAGGATTAAGTCTACAAATTACAATAAGGTAATTCTACGTGACATCTTAACCTAAGCCCTATAAAAAAGGCGGGGGAATCAACGTTTTGAGGTACGCAATAAATCCTAACTCAATTTCTCGATTTCTCCAGGGAGATTATCATTCACACTTACTTGTTCGTCGGAGCCTACTCCACCGGTAACACACCGGTGTTCGTAGGATCACTTTTTCTTTTCTTTATTCAGGAAGTCAGATCAGATCCAGGTTGCGCAAAATCCATCATCAACACCTTTGGTCCAATTTAAGTATAGTTTATGGGGTGTAATAATTTTTAAGAGAGTACGTAAGACGTACATTGTCTGTCTGAAAAATTATTAACTTGTTTTTTTAGAATTTGAATATTCAACTTTAAAATCTTAAACTCAAAGGACATATATGGAAAGAAATGAAATATATTATTTGAAAAAAGGAAGTGGATTATTATTTTAGGACAAATAAAAAAGGAAATTATGACACTTATTTTGGAATGGATAGAGTATGATATAGTTGAAAGATTGTAAATTAAGAAACACAAATAATCTGCTAAAAACACAAATTAGTGTGATTTCACAAATCTTGCAATGTCATAAAGGAAAACTTTATTTTGTGTTTGAGTATAGTCTATGGGGAGTAATAATTTTTAAGGGAACATGTAAGACAAGTATTGTCTGTCTGAAAAATTACTAACTTGCCTTTTTAAAATTTGAATATTCAAGTTTAAAATTTTAAACTCAAAGGACATACATGGAAAAATATGAAATATATTGTTTAAAAAAAGAAAATGGACTATTATTTTGGGACAAACAAAAAATGAAATCATGACACTTATTTTAGAACGAAGAGAGTATGATATAGTTGAAAGATTGTAAATTAGGAAACACAAAAAATCGTTAAAAACACAAATTAGTGTGATTTCACAAATCTTGGAATGTCGCAAAGGAAAACGTATTTTGTGTTTGAAAGGGATTCTAAATGTGTGTGTGTGTGTGTTTTTATTTATTTATTTATTTATTTATTTTTTTTTTTTTTATTTGACTATAGAAGTTACTAAAAAAAAAGAAAAGAAAAAAAAAGAGTCTATTAGATAGGAACAAGACAGGAATGATTATGAAATTAATCTCTTTAAATAATGAAAAATATAAATTAAAAAAAAAAATGCTCACGTTAAAATAACATGCACGGATTGTAAAGACTATTCAACAATGCTCAATTTCATGTTAATTAGAAGTATGATTTACCAATATAATTAGTAACATTAACTATAGCATGTTTTCTTTGGCCCATTATTATCACTTTAGCCAAGAAGGAATATCTGGGCTTCAATATTTCCATGCCTTTAGCTGCAACCGGAAGATTATTTCAATTCATTCACCATCAATTTCATCATTTTCTACCTAAAAGAAAATTTTGAAACGAGTTTCAACTCCGTGCTAGTAAAATATTCTTCATTCTGAATCCAACTTCGACTTTCTTTATTCTCTCTATATACAAGTTTCAAAACTTTTACCCATACCTTGAAAATTAATATCCAAAATCAGTAGGACAAAGGTAAAACAATTAACAAGAAGCAAATTTGGATTGCACCTTAGATATGGACCAAACCCTAGACCAATTTAGTGTCACCTACAGTTTTTTCTATAATCTACAGCAGCACAGTGACTTTCTCATAGTCCTTGTTCCATCACCAAGCAAAATATTACCATACAGCTATATTGATCATTAAATCGAGAGAGAGAAATATCCATTTGTAGGGAAATTTTAAATATAATCCTGTTGAGGTAAATTCTTCTAAGTGGAATTTATTTGAAAACCATCTCATTTTTTAGAATGAGATTAACATGATCAATATATTCAAAACATTTTTTTACTTACTCACAGTTCTAAACCATGTAATACACTTCACCATCTCTCCGACACACCAAAAATTATTATAAGAATCATGTAATTCCAGATCATATATATATATAATAATTTCTTGTGTGAGAGACTTTGTGTTTTCTCATAAATTAGAAAGGGAGAAGCATAAACTAGAAGTTTCACATGGAACAAAGCTTTTGGCGATACTAGTATTCTGTATACAAGGAATCAAAAAGTTACTTATAAGAAGTCCGTCTCTGACGGGTCTCTACTGTCGTTATGACAGGAAGAAAGCCTAGCTAGTATAAGTTACAACACCATCGTCTCCATGACCTCACCATTCCATTTCCATTCAGCCTCCTCTCAAATTAGACTAGGGCACAAAATGGAACAAGATGAATCAAAAAGGGATTTTTATATCGATATCTTCAGCTTCAGCTACAGCTATTATAATCCAAAAGCAGAAGAAATCATGGTGATGTGCTTCAAAGGGTGTAATATGTCCTTGCCTCCAGCATGCTCCACAAACTCAGCCGGTGAAAACGAGCTTCCGTGGCAGTAGCATATGATGCTGACATCTGTTTTTGTGCATCGGCACAATAACCCGATAATGGTTTTGCCATTGGGGCCATTCCCTGTCGTTGAAACGCAGGGCGTGTGCAGCAGAGAAGGGATACCGGAATTACAAGTTTGAGGCTTGCCCTCGTCCCAACTTCCCCCCTTCAATGGAGCAGGGGTTGGGTTTTCACAAGCTGGAATATTGAACTTATGAACCGGATCAGAACCATCAGGTCGGGATAATTCTGATTTGGTGGTTTTTATCCTATTACAAGATGCACTGTGCTCAGATTGGGAGTCGGCAAATGGTTTTTTGTATCACTGCTGCTATCACCTACAAAGATAAAAGTGTATATTAGTTAGTATATACATTCAAGTGTGGTGGATTTGTGTACCCCTTATGCGATGCCCAATTGCACATTTGGGAATTACACTCCATGTGTGTTTGAACTTTGGATGGCCCACCAATAAAACTACACTCAACAGCCTTAATTGAGCTTATGCATTAATGAATTTTTATACTCCCATAAATCAAGTGGACCATTACCGGCAAGGCAGTGTTGTGATGGTACATAAAAGGAAATCTGCACTAATTACCTAAAGTAGACCCTATACCATTTTGAGTGAGGAATGTAGTGCATTATGTGCCTTTACAATATTAGTTATGCAACAATTTATGCAATAATTACATTACATTGTTACGACGCTGTTCCATTGTAACGTAATGCAGGGCCTGGGGTACGGATTTGTGGATGACACAGGTTGTTTTCAATTATGTTGATCATAGGGAGCGTGCATGGAATGTGAACAAAAATTAGAAGAATGCATAAAAATATAAAGCAATTTGAATCAAGGAATTAATAGTACCTCGGAGAGACTTGCTTGGATGATCCAAAACCACAGACAAATTCCTAAGAGGGGACCAATTGGACACCATATTCCCATTTCGGCCATCTTTGCTGCTATTAACCTCGTAATCAAAACATGATGAATCACGACTTGTCCATAAATTGTGACCGGAATTCTGATTCCCCTGATCAGGCCGAAAATTTGGGAAAGTCAATGGCGGAAAAACATCATTGTCATTCTTCTTACCTGCAACGTTGCACAAAGGCAGAGTACTCCAATTGGGCATCGCATAAGGGTACACAAATCCATTACTTAACGGCGGATACGAATACTGAGCCGGAGCAGACGGAGACGATGAAAGCATTGGTGGATTCGAAATGTGAGTCTGATCAAAGGACCCGTTGCGGCTCAATGTGAGATTCAAATCTTTCATCTCTGCACAATCTTCCTTCTTACCTCTCTTACATGCTCGCTCTGCTACAAGAGCCCCATTCTCTCTCACCTTTCTCTCTCTAACCGGATTCTGCAACCATTTTGCTTCTGACAACAACTTGTCGTCGGAAAATTCATTCGTCACCGGATAACCACCGTCCGTTCCTCCGTGAAGTCCGTTTCTCAGCTTCTCTCCTCTCTTATTTCGTCTCTGAATATTCTCATGCTTCGCTTGAGGATTAGCATACTCGGATCCGCTGTCCTGCTCTGACAATGTTGAGAAGCAATGATGTTTTTGGCTAACATTCGTAGACACTGAATTGATTTCCTTGTTGAAATTGAAATGATTTTCGTCTATCAACTTAGATTTTTCTGGTTTTCTGAAACTACCACCAATTGAAAGCCCTAAACTCAGCTCAATCTCATCTTCTTCTTCCACACCAACTCTTGAAACCTCCATCATTTTACCACTAGGGTTTGCCATTGAACAAAACATTTCAAAGCAGAGATTTGAATGTATAAAAGAATACAACTTTATTGAACTTGAAAAGTTTTCTTTTTTTAGGGTTATGTGATGGAACTTGGGAAGGTTGATTTGAATTGAATTTAAGAGTTGTAAACAGATGGTGATGAAAGGAAGGAAACAAATAGAGAGTGGAAGAGAGGGAGGGAATGCCACGTGGAGGAATGGGAGAAGGGGAGAGGGACGGTTGGTGACACGTCAGAGGGTTGATTAAATTTAGGAGAGGTCATGAGCCACTAATGCTTATATAACGGTAATTGTAATCGCCGCTAAGTATGGGTTAATGGCCTGCCTGCATGCGATAAGACCGACACGTGTCATTCGTGTACGGAAGGTCTTCTTTGAAACAGGTGTATCTTCTTCTGATACGTGTGTCTGTGTCTTTTTCTTTTCGAATCTTGAAATTCTCTTTCATTGACGGAGATGACGTAAGCCCATAAAAGAAGTGAGTTGTGAATTGGACACGTAGAAGTGTAGGAAATGGATAGGCATGCGAGGCTGTGTTGTAGCTCATAGAATGCCACCACTTATGGTATGGGCTTTCATGAGTGACAGCTAGGCGGACAAAGTTGTTTTTGTTTTTGTTGCTTTGTTGGATTTGATGCGATGAGCCGACGCCGTATTTGATTGCAGAACGAATGGGACCAATGGGTGTAACATTGATAATGTAATCTAATAAGTATATTGAGAATGTAATATTTATAAGCAAATATGTGCATGTCTGTTATTGTACAATTTCCATTGATTTGACTTAAAAATTCAATTTTTTATTTTATTTTATATAAAAGTCATGTCAAATAAGATTTGGACGGGAGACCAAAATTTTGATGAAGTAGACTTAAAAATTCAATTATATTTATTGCCCAAATATAATTGTTCTCACTTTAAATTAAAGTTGATGACTCACTAAAATGATATATATAGTGATCGTGTTAATATATACATATATATATAATGAATAGTGATAGATGGGCCGATTAATTTGACAGAATATACGTGACAATCCAGGTAAGCAACTTTAATAATTAAAAAAAGAAAAAAAAATAAAAAGAGAAACAATATACGTGTCCCGTAGATTCATATTTCCCAAGCTGTCAAGTTATAGGCTAAGTTCTTCTCTTCTGATAGTTATCAAATCTCTCCCTCTTCATTTCGTCACTTCAAACAATATTTCTTACCATTTTAACTTCAAAAGAGAGAGAAAAAAAAAAAAAAAAAAGAACTTTTAATTTTTAAAGTATATGGTTGCAACTTCATATCATATTTCATATTCATACATTCATATATATATTGTATCATATGTGTAATTTTTTTTTTGGAAGGTAAATATGTGTATTTATTTGTTTGATTATATTATTTTTCATAGTCTATAAAAAAATTTCAAAGAGATATTAGAAAGAGAAATACAATGAGAAAAAGAAAGAAAGGAGAGAGAAGAGATGAGAGAGAAAGAGATGAGAGTGGCCTAGCTCGACAGGTCACGTAGTTTCTGCCAAAGTAATCGGTCAAATGCTTCGATTGAAATATCATTTTTCTATATATATATATATATCGTGATCATGGTCATATAAGATTTGAACACTCACAATTATGTGATATAATCCAGAATTTGTATGAGCAAGGTTAATTTATTTTGATATTCGGACGGGGGATGGACAATTAATTATATTTTTGTGTTGCTTCCAATTCAAATTGGGACTTTGTTTGAAAATTTTCAAACCACTCTCAATTTTTTGATTGCAATCGGTACAAGTATTAAATCCAATTGGAATCCTACTTGATATTATTGTTTATTATTCAAATATTTGTAATATAATATGGTTTACTATCACACACTCGGGTATTATCTCTAAGCCTAAATCAAGTTAATTTGACATATTCAGCTCAATCCATGTCATAACCTAATCGATGAATTAGTTTGTTCTCTGGACCAACACTGCATGATTTGGTTGGTTGGTTGGCTGACGCCCACATTGTCTCAAAATGTATTGTTTCCGAGCAGTTTTATACCGGGAAAAATGCAAAAGATGAATAATATTAACACAACCAGCAAGTTAATGGACACTGTAACATTGACAAGAGAAAGGTAACACATTTTGTTTGAACAAAAGCATGAAAGCTTTTGCTTAATGCCTCTACATGTTAAAGATGAAATGTTCACTGCTACACCTTCTTCCATGGTTCATAATCAGTATTCTACACAGGAGGCAGGCTCACTAGAAGTTGACCATTCAATACACTGCGAATCAGGAGATCGAAACAGGTCAAATTGTTGTGAATTGTGATCTACAGTTAATATATTTGATGGAAGTTGGGAAGGAAGTGAGAGTAACTAGTGTAAATTGAACGATAAAATAAAGGGCTCACCTCTTGACGTAATAGTAACAGAAGTCAGCCAAGATAAATGTTTGAACGATTTCTGAGAGGAGAACCATTGGTAGCCAAAAGTATCCACCTCCAAGCAAGAACAGATAATTACCAGCAGTATCATAAACCTGTGGACATTACACAGAGATATAACAAAAAAAAAAAAACAGATTTTTATGTTTTAAAAAGTAGCTCATTATCTCGATAGTGATGAGAGAGAAAAGGGGGTCATGGAGATGACTCGTAACCAAACATGATGCAAAGAAGGCAGCCCAGCTTTCTTATGTGTGTGTGACTCCATTCTTTAAATACAGAAGAACCTAATCAATACTCATTTCGTTCCCATAAATGTCAATGGGATGCTTCCAAAATGCTGACAACTTAGAAATAAGGTTGGAGGATTTTTCTTTTGGCTGTTCAAATTTATCACTTGTACCAATAAACGCATGATGGTTTCTGTAATTAGTACAATCCAATTGATGGAAGGAAAATAAAATGTCAACCATGGTACTGCTATCAGGGTGGTATTGCAAGAGAACAATTTTAAATCAAAAACCTGGATAACAGTACTACAATCCTCGAAAATTCAGAGCATAAGATATGATATGACTCGAATGTATGGTTTCCTATGTTGCTTTTCAACCAAATTCCTTATGGGATGACTCTATGTTTCTTATAATAAGATACATGACTTGTAATAGAAAATAATGGAAAAAGATAACTCATGTGGCTAGGATAAAGGCAAAGACGACGATGAAGGCCCATTGAATCGAGATTGTCATACACAGTAGCTAGAACCAAATTACTGCAAGCCTTTTCTAATGCTGGGGCCAAGCCATTGCTGCCTTCCCATTATAAGCATTTTCTAGATGGTCCTATATGTGTTTAAGATTATAGTAATTTGTTGATCGAAATTCACACTTCGTCAACATGTGACAGGTTTAGTATATCAAAACTGACCTGAATGATCCAGTGAGCGCATCCCAAGAATCTTGCAACACCCAATGCAAATACATAATGGGCTGTAAATGGTTCAACCATCTGAAAAGACATTTGATTGTAAAGAAGTGAATATTACTACTTGTAAATTTATAAAATACTCATGTGGAAGCATATACAGGTCAACCAGACATAAACCTTAGCATTCTGCATTAGGCGAAGCTGCGGCATAACTGAAACAGATTCCAAGTACACACAAAATGCCCAAAGAATTCGGGTGATGCGTAAATGATGTGTATATGGATGAATAAGTAATGCAAGAGCAGCAGCAGGCACTACCTGTCAAACAGATGGAAAAATGTGATTGCATCATTGAAACTATTGTAATGTTACACGAATCTCCAGAGAGTTAATGGTGCCCAATTATTGGGAAAAAGAACCAACTGATGGACAATATCAACTACTGTATGGTATCATTTCTTGTCAGAAAACAGGAAGTTCAAACCAAAAAACTCTAAACAGCACAATGAGATATTAAAAAAATAAAATACATAGAACAACCACATAGAGTAGAAAGTACTACTACTCCATGCTAATAGGAGGTGCAGAGAGGAGTGGATGTTCATAGATGCCACATACTGAATTAAACACGCAGTTGAATGTATAACCAAACTTTACCTCTTCAAGTATCACTTTTCATAGTCCAGTAATATTAGAAAGTGGCCAAGTATGTCTATTCAACAGTATGGCTTTGAACATATTTTTCTCTCTATTTATATTGTTTACTGGAAATAAAATAATGCTTTGACAAGTATTGCTTAGAAGCATAGGGGAAGACAAAAACTCCCAGTCATATACCTCTTAGATGAGCTTTGTCGGAGATTTCATGCAAGATATAAGAAGCTCAAACAAAGGTAAGTATTTCTGCCTGACCAATAACGTTGACATTATCCTGTTGTGCGACAAGCTCAGATAGCAATTGTGGAGGGTAAAGTTCTGATCTCACTTGACCCACAAACTTACATATGCATTGAGATCTAGTCATAAATAACTAATAAAATAATATAACTGCAAGAGCCACGAAAAATTTATTGTGGTCGAACAAAATCCGGACTACATGGAAACAAGAGAATCCACCATGTACTCGTACCGTAAAGAAATTACAAAGATCACTGATATCTGAATCAATACCCTGAGTCCTGAAACATGAAGCAAGCAAACTTCCCCTTTCAAAACAGCACATTGAGGTTTCCTATTGGGAGAACTGATTTTGTTATAGTGGCAGATTAGATAAATGCCACTTTTGGTTGAAAATCCAGGAGAGGCATCACAATTACTGGGACACTTGTTTGATGGTAGGTAAATGAATTGGAGTCCTTTTAGCATCTAAAGGGTGCACTTGGTGGGTCAGGTTTATTTGAGCACCCACAGTTATGGTTACTCCCTCAATATGTACCAACCTTCTTACCAAAACAACACAGGGCTAATTACCCACAGTTATGGTTACTCCCTCAACATGTACCAACCTGCTTACCAAAACAACACGGCTAATTTTCCAATCCTGTTTACTTGTTAGTGGTTTTCTTTCTCAAAATACAACTTATCTCTTCCTCAAATATCAGGGATCAAATTCCTATAATTTCTCCACATAACTATGCTAATAAAATCTTGGCAATGATTACGTTGTTGTTAAATAAGGTATAACTAATGCTGCTTAGAGTTCAGACATCTCATTCATATCATTGCAGGAAATTTCTAACACATTTAACAAGATGCAAACTTGAGATAAGAAATTCCATGTATTTTAAACCATGTTCTAAAGTGTGTTTTTTTTTGGGAGGGGGAGATGTGTATGCAAAGTCAAAGTTGGCACAAAATAAATAGTAGACTAGACAAAGTTGACAAATTTACAGCATGAATTTTAAGAAGCACACACTATGTGGATAGGCTTCCACTTGGCCTTACTTCATTTGCTGTATGTGAAGAAACAAGTGATTCAAAAACAACTAATTAGCAAGGACCATAGAAAATCATCACGCAAGGTAGACTCATGTACTTGCTTATCAAGCGAAGAGGACAGTGTCTAACATCTTGAAGGCGAGTTCAACTAATCTTGAAGATTCAGATGTATAGAAAGGGAATGCATATTGAATATGCATGACAATCACACAAAGACTAAAAGTTTGCAGACGGATGCAATGTTATGTATTTTACCCAAAGATGAAAAGTGAACAACGTGCTTACCATATAGTATATGCGCAAGTTGTCTAGCTCAGCAATGTAGGTTGACTTTAATTTGAATCTTATCATGTATATAACCCATGCAGTTGAGACAAGTGTTGCAAAATCAAGCACGGTATGAATGTCACCTTCCATGACAAAACTACAGTACAATCTTACAGCTAGGAATGTAGCTGTGAGCTCCTGAGTCTTCAGTGAAAGGCCTAAACAAAGGAAGAGAAATTCAGTTATTGGAATAATTCAGATACATGAAACGTAAGAGCAACGTATTAAAGCGTGCTACATTTTAAAATGCAAACAAAAAACATGAATTATTTGATTTAGTATAACCCGCCCAAATATTCATGCCTGTTGTCACGAGGAAAGTTGAAATTAGTACACTTACTGGAAACGTATACAATTAAATTTAACAAATTTATGGATAAAATTATGAACTATAAAAATACGACTTAAAATTAAAAAGAAATTTATGGAGAAAATTATGATACGTAAAAATATGCCTCAAAATAAAAAAGAAGAAGAAGACAAAGTAGTGAACTACTTTCACCGCAAGGTTTCAAATTCTTATAGCAATGTTCCCAAACTTATTGAAATTAAAGACTTCTCGTCTCATTCATCCAAAAAGTCGAAAAACTCCATTTTGTGGCAATCATCAACCCACTAAGAGATCATTGAATCAATAGTAATGAGCCCCATTTTGAAGAGGCTAATATATGTAACATTACGGAACTAATACTCGGCATGGGTATTCAATTACCAAGAGTAAAAACTGAAATTTCATCTCCACATCAATATGTTTAACCAAAGCATTCATAACAAAACCATCATCCATTGGAGCTTTTTGTTTCAAGATGATGTTTTTCCTCTCATTTGTCTTGTTAATCTGTGGAAGACTATTATACTAATTTACCTGTTTCCACGTATAATCTTTTTAGAGTTAGCAAGTCATATAAAGGTCGTGTTCATTAAATACCATCATCACCATCATCACCATCACCAGCAACATCCCTGCCTTAATCCCATATTAATGGGGTCGGCCACATGAATTCTCTCTCCAATCTTTTCTATTGCATGCCATTTCCCCTACTATGTATAACTTATAAAAATCATTTTTAATAACCTCATCCCACCCTCTCTGTCTCTTACCTTCTATTACAAATAGGTGGGTTTTCCATGCTACACCAAGGCGTCACTATTGCCATTAACCCTAAATTTCTAATTAAATAAAAATTATAAATTAACTTACGTTGCATTAGGAAGCATGGAAAAGGCCTTTAGAATTGGAATTTGAGCAAATTTAGTTTATATACTAATTTTTCTCTAATTCCAATTCCAAGGTGCCCCCGGTTATACATGCTTACACTAATTTTTCTCTAATTCCAATTTCAGGGCTTGAATTCCAGGTTACCAAACATAAATTTCCTCCTTTTCAATTTCAAGGCGGGGGTGGAATACTGGGAAATTGGGAATAATGCAAAAATGTATCCTTTGATTGGTGTGATTAATGCACAAATTAAAATCAAGATTATAAGGAACATAAAATAAATAAATAAAAGGTATAAAGATAGGAAAGCATATGTAGATATACCAGAACAAGTGTTCTGAGCGGCGAGCTTGTAGATCAAGACCACGATGCCAGCAACATGAATGGCTTCAGAGGCAACGAAGAAGTGGTTGTGATTTTTGACAAGAAGTTTGAGAGCCACCAGCGAACAGAGCACAGTCGTAACGGCTAAGAAGGTCTTCACCTTCATGGACTGCCTCCGTACCCATGCGAATAGCTTGTTCACAGGCGACCCCCTTCTCCGTCCCATCACTTCTTCTCCTCCTTCCCCTTCTCCGATCAATCAATTTAGAGAGAGAAACGTGTGTGTATTATATATGGAGAGAGAGATTTCTTTTTTCGGTAGAACGGGCGCAAAGTGGAGACGGAGAGAGCCAATTGGGAGGTATTTCAGTTGATGGTGTGATTATGAACGTATTTAATAATTCTTCCATTTTTCATTCAAATATAATAACTTGTTTCTAAAACCAACGGATTTGATACGGAAATTAATGGTCCGTGATTTTGACATATTCTTCAACATTTGACTCTTTTAATGAATTTTTTGAAGCGTTCAAAGGTAAATGAAAAATGAAGGAATTATTATGTGACCGGAAGATGTTATGCAATAAATAAATAAAAAATATTTGAATAAATATGACATAATTAAGTTATGGTAAATTTTTTAAAATTGAAGAATTGAAATTGAAACTTGTAAAAAAAAAAAATTAAAAAAATAGTTTAAAGTTACAAAAAAAATAAATTATTTTATTTTTTTCAATTACACAAATTTTAATTTGAAGATTAGTATGTTATGCTATACAGAATTGAAATTTTAAAATTTATGAAATTGAAGAAAAATAATTCAGAAAATTGAATTAAATTTTTTTTTCCAATTCCACCAATTTCAATTGTGAGATTCCAATTCCATACTAACACAACCTTAACATAATCAATGACACATTTTGTAAATAATTCTGTAGATATGCCTCTAAGTTTAGATTAATTACACTAGTGATAAATACAAGTCCTTAAATTAGATAAGTCTTTCATTAGTGTTTTAGGTCTAATTCACCAACTCAAATATTATTCTTAAAAAAATAATAAAAAGGCATATACTAGTTCACACATGATTAATTATTATAACTCTAAAATATTGTGGCAGACCACTTTTGATCATAGCAAAAGAGCCGTGATTGTCAAAAGTTTTAGTGCTGCAAAATTTTCATTCGACTTATATATAGGTCTCTTCACTGATTTGGTTGTCCTAACTAGCAAATACTTGGCTACCAACAATGTCACCTTCTGTTATAGACTCAGGACTAACTTAGCTATCGATTCTATATCTATTGTCCACCAACCTTCCCCAATTGTTCGAGTTGATGTAACTGCTGTTCGAGTTGATGTAACTGCTTGAAATTGTGTATGTATAAATTTTTCAGCCTTTCGGCTATTATTTGGAAATTACTGCTGACTAATCGTAACTCTTAAACATAGAAATCGTTGCAATCATGTCTTCATATTAAGTTTAAACTAATATATTACATGCATTACACACATACCAAAACCTTTTCATATTCTTCATAAATATAACAAGAGTCTTGTGGTTTTATTAGGAACGGAACATAAAAGTCTTATGGTCTATCTCTATTTCTGCTCACAACAAACGCTATATGCTGCATGCATGGAGTTTAATTTTTTCATAAAATGTAGATGGAAGGCGCGGGGTGATGACAACTTCTAGTGGGGTTGCCTTAAGCATGGTAGTGCCTAAGCCTTCAGTCATGTCCACAGGTTCACCATTTGGTGTAGTGAAGTTGAACCCTTGGAGCAATCGAGCCAGTGTCAAGTGTGTCACTTGCGTGGCAAATGTGATCCCGGGGCAAGATCGCCTACCGGAGCCAGATGGGGTGTACTCAAAATGCTGACCACCAAAATCTACCTCTTCGTGGCTCGTCAGGAACCTTACCGTATGAATTTGTCAAGGTCCATCCACACACGAGGATCTCGGTGCAGCTTCCACAGATTTACTAGCAAACGAGTGTTCTTAGGAATGTGATAGCCACCCAACAGTCTTCCCTGGCCTCGTGTGATACTGATAAGGGAGCTGCAGGGTATAGACGCAAAGTTTCTTTGACAATTGCTTGGAGGTGGACTAAGTTCTTGATGTCAGATTCTTCTACCCATCTCTCTGTGCCAACTTTGGAGTCTATCTCTTCTTGGGCATGCTTCAAAGCATGGTTATAGTTCAATAAGAGAGACAAGAGCCATGTCAAGGTAACAGATGTGGTGTCCGAGCCTCCTAAGATGAGGACCTGCAGGGCAAGATTAATGTTAGAACATAATAAGAAGAGGATCATATTTTGCAAATACATCAACACAATTATAATTTCTCTTTTGATGTAAATTTATACAACACACAAACACCAATCAAAAGCAAAGAAACCTGCTTCACAACTATTTGGGGATGGCTTCTATGGATCAAATACTATTTTATATGGCAGTGTTAACAGGTAACCTCATAGTCCTGTGCCAAAATAAGAAAAAAGATTTGAAAATTTTGGTTAGGAATGAAATGAAACTGAGTCAGAGTCAACACTTGCCTGGAATTCTTCAGTTCTTTGCCTCAAAGGTTCAAACTTGCCTACAGAATAATAGAGGGACTATGACACTTGAACACTAGGGGAAATCAATGAATAAATAGAATTGCAACCAGATCTTGTCCTAAAATTTTCATCTGAATAATTAGTTAAGTTGAACTTTTGAATTCTTGCTAGGATTTACCTTTTCCTATGATCGGTGAAGCCAACAGTTCTTTTTCAAATGAATATGTTATAAATTTGGGCTAAGGTGTTTTTTTATGAATATGTTAGGATTTACCTTTCTACATATTATAAAATTTTGTGAACATGAATTTAAAGACATACCAATATTGTTGCCTTGATGACACAGTTTGTTTTGTATGGCCATAAACGAATTCATCATCAATTATAGAGAGCATCACATCTATGAAGTCCTGCTCATCACCCCTCACTCACAATTCCCAAAAATGATGATACATGATAACTTTATATTTTTCTTAGTTATTTTAGTATTAGAGTGGACGTGTTCAATATGCTTGTGCATAGTGTTCACGTGTATCATATTGATTTAAGTTCTGTAGATGTACTTGAACCCAACTCTCAAAGATAGAATCCAATTCTTTTCCAATTCTCTTCATGGTCTTCAAATCTCCTCCCATATGATCAAAATCCATCTTAGCAATGGAAATGGAATCACATCTGACAATACAAAAACCCCATTTACATACATAAATTCCTTTATAACTCTTTTGAATCGCCTTGTCTCTTCATCATCCGCGCTCTCAGAATATCTCTTACCTGCAATCATCTTCACAACAATATTCAAAGTAAATTGTTCAAGTCATTCACTAATCACCCCCCTGTTTCTCTTCTTGGCAAGCAAGTACAACTCTTTAATGCTAGTGTTCAATTCCAAGACTTGGACATGCCTGAGCGTGTCAAATCTGCGACTTGACAGCAACGGGAGGAGTGCTATTCTGCGCATGTCACGCCAGAATGGCCCGTAAGGCATGAACACGAAGCTTGCATAGTTCTAGCCAACGTACTTGCCAGCGCTATTAGCAAGCCGTGAGGCCAAGGCTCTGTCATTAGTGGTGAAACACTCTTTGACAACTTCCCAACTGCTCACCACGAGTGCACGGTGCACCCCGAGCCGGATTGTGAAGATGGGCCCGTATCGGTCGACCATGGCTCCGAGGATCCGAACCACCGAGGTCTTGAACCACCGGATTGTGACCAATTGAACTGGCGAGCTTCTCTTCCGTTCAAACCGGTGTAGTTCAGTCCCGCGCACTTCTCTTCAGTTCGGTTTTTTGTGTTTCAGTCCGGCTGACTTGAGTTCGGTTTCCTGATAATGTGTTTTTATTGATCATATATGCACACACTCATGTGGGTTTGACCGGTCAAAAGCAAAGGCAGAACTTGCTTATATTGTTTCGGTGCTCTGTTTATCTAATTGATTGGGTGATGAAGAAAGGAGCATTGTGGGGAGCAAGAAGTGATTCACCCAGGGAGTGTGATTATTGTTCAATAAGATAGACAAGCGCCATGTCAAGGTAACAGATGTGTGGAGCCTCCTAAGATGAGTACCTGCAGGGCAAGTTTAATGTTAGAACATAATAAGAAGAGGGTCATATTTTGCAAATACATCAACACAATTATATATTTATCTTTTGATGTAAATGTACACACACACAAACACCAATAAAAATCAAAGAAACCTACTTCACAACTATTTGGGGTTGGCTACTATGGATCAATTACTATTTTACATGGCAGTGTCAACAGGTAACCTCATGGTCCTGGGCCAAAATAAGAAAAAAGATTTGGAAATTTTGGTTAGGAATGAAATGAAACTGAGTGAGGGTCAACACTTACCTGGAATTCAGGGCAGTCCCAGGCCCAAGACGACCAAGGCGGTCGCATTGGGCCTCAAAATAGAGGATGGAAAAAAAAAAAAAAAATTAAGTTAGGACAAGTCTTGGTCGCCTTGGTTGAGGCCCATAGGGGATGGAAAAAAAAAAATACGGAGTGTTAAGTTAGGGCAAGTTTCAGACGACACAATTTGCTTCGACACTCCGCAGGCCGCAGCCTCCGCTATCGCCTCAGGTGACAAGGTATGTTCATCCTCTTTCTCTCTTCTCTCTCCTTTTGCATGAATCAATCTTTTATATATGTTTCTTTCTTTCGTTCATCTCATCATTTGATTTGTTCTAACTTTGGTTCGTTTGATTCGGGCCTTTACCTTTGTTCCAATAGTGAAAAGTAGCTTCCAAACTAGGGTTTTTTGTGTGTGTCACTGTGTGTGATGGCTATCAAAAGCTGAATGAATATATTATGGTTCTCTTAGTATTTTAATAAATGTGTGCCTTTCTACATGTGTCTTTCATGGCGATCGAGTCCATAATCTATGCAGGCACTTTTTTTTTTCCTCTCCTTAATTCCACTCCAATCTCACAACAGCAGCAATCATACCCCTTTTCCTCATAAGTTTTTGCATTTTCACATTCAATCCTACGAAAATTAAGGATCCCTTCTAGTGGGTTGAGCCGTTGAGGTAATAATTAACTTTTTCTGTCTCTAAATTTTGCTCATACTTAAAAGTGCCAAATTAAGGGTTTATTTATATTTTATTTTTATATGAAGATACATACCACCATTATTGATGTTATTTGAAGTTGGCTCAGCTAGAATTTCAGTTAATAATACTGTCAAAGCACTTGCCATCAGAATGTACAAACACATGGAAATCAAGAGCAGGCTTTAACAAAACAAAAGTTAATGGTTTTTTTCTATTAATTTGCACAGGTCTTCGGTAGCAATGATCAATCAATCACTGCTACTAAAGTTGATTCCTCATCCTGAAATCAAGAAAGTGGTAATTGGCTCCCAAAAAACACACACACAAAGTGTAGTTAATATAAAGAGTGAAAGACAAAACTATATATGGTAGTGGATGCCACATATAACCTAAAAATCCCGCTACTTCTTCAGCACTACAAGTTCAGCCTCCTATATATATAGTCACCTCATCTCCACATATTTTTGTCATCTGTAGTCATCAAATTTTAGCAGCTATATAAACAATGAAGGTAAAAAAGAAGCTGCAGTTTTCTGTTCCCCATTTCCACTTTTGGACTATATTTTGGATACTCTGTTTTGTCTTCTCTCAATCTCTCCTCTCCTCCAGATTCCAGTGAAAACTCCAGCCAGGAGATCATTCGAACAAACTGCTTGATTTTAGATTTTTTTTTATTTATTATATTTATTGTATGATCGGCAATGCTTAGTTATTATTGTTTCTGTTTGATTCTCCATCCATTTTATGTTAATTGTGATCTTCTTTCACATGCTAGCAGGACACTCTTCTTAGTATCTCGTGAGGTTATTTGCCTTGAACTTGAATCAAATCATTGCATATTGAGGTAATATATATTTTCTTTAAACAAAGCAAATTATTATTATTATTTTTTTGTAGTCTAGTTTTATGTTGATTATGGTTCTTGTTATTTAGATTTCAAGAGATTTCATTATGTCTACAAGAAAATTTGAATCTGGGCATGAAAAAAAGAAAAAAAAAAAAAAAAAAGAAGAGAGAAGAAGAATTGATTCAATCTCAAAAAGGAGATATCTTAAGTTTTTTAGGAGCAATACACAAATAGAGAGTTTAGTTGAAGATTTGGTGAATGAAGAACATATGAATGTGAAAGCAAATGAAGAAAATATCAATAAACATGAAGATTTAATGAATGAAGATCATAGGAAGTTGGTTAATGAACATGAAGATTTAATGAATGAAGATTATAGTTATTAGTTAGTTGTCTTATGCACAATGCACATGCGCACAATTAAATTAGCTATAGAATTTGAAAACATCGTGTGAAAATTCTGCACTCTTATAATTTTTTTTGCGCATGTGAAACTTAAGGGCCTCACATTTGAAAGTTTGCCTAGGGCCTTTCAAAATATTTGGAATTCTTTAGTTCTTTGCCTCAAAGGGTCAAACTTGCCTACAGAATAATAGAGGGACTCTGACACTTGAACACTAGGGGAAATCAATGAATAAATAGAATTGCAACCAGATCTTGTCCTAAATTTTTCATCTAAATAATGAATTAAGTTGAACTTTTGAATTCTTGCTAGGATTTACCTTTTCCTTTCTTTTTCAAATGAATATGTTGTAAATTTGGGCTAAGGTGTTCTTTTATGAATATGTTAGGATTTATCTTTTTACATAGTATAAAATTTTGTAACATGAATTTAAAGACATACCATTATTGTTGCCTTGATGACAGTTTGCTTTGTGTGGCCATAAACGAATTCATCATCAATTACAGAGAGCATAACATCTATGAAGTCCTGCTCATCACCCCTCTCACTCACAATTCCCTTTTGTAGATGTTCTTAAACCCAAACTCTCAAAGATAGAATCCAATTATTTTCCAATTCTCTTCATGGTCTTCAAATCTCCTCCCATATGATCAATCCATGTTAGCAATGGAAATGGAATCACATCTGGCAATACAAAAACCCCATTTACATACATAAATTCCTTTATAACTCTTTTAAATTGCCTTGTTTCTTCATCGTCCGCGCTCTTAGAATATCTCTTACCTGCAATCATCTTCACAACAATAATCAAAGTAAATTGTTCAAGCCGTTCACTAATCACCACCCTGTTGCTCTTCTTGGCAAGCAAGTACAACTCTTTAATGCTAGTGTCCAATTCCGAGACTCGGACATGCCTGAGCGTGTCAAGTCGCAGACTTGACAGCAACTGGAGGAGTGTTATTTTGCGCATGTCACGCCAGAATGGCCCGTAAGGCATGAACACGAAGCCTGCATTGTTGTAGCCAAGGTACTTGCTATCGCTATTAGCAGGCTGTGAGGCCAAGGCTATGTCATTAGTGGTGAAGCACTCCAAGGCTATGTCATTAGTGGTGAAGCACTCTTTGACATAGCCTTGGCCTGCTAATAGTTGGGAAGCTGTCAAAGAGTATTTCACCACTCTTTGAGGCCAAGGCTATGTCAAAGAGTGCTTCACCACTAATGACATAGCCTTGGCCTCACGGCCTGCTAATAGCGCTGGCAAGTACCTTGGCTACAACTATGCTGGCTTCGTGTTCATGCCTTACGGGCCATTCTAGCGTGACATGCGCAAAATAGCACTCCTCCAGTTGCTGCGCTCAGGCATGTCCCAGTCTCGGAATTGGACACTAGCATTAAAGAGTTGTACTTGCTTGCCAAGAAGAGCAACATGGTGGTAATTAGTGAATGGCTTGAACAATTTACTTTGAATATTGTTGTGAAGATGATTGCAGGTAAGAGATATTCTGATAGCGTGGACGATAAAGAGACAAGGCGATTCAAAAGAGTTATAAAGGAATTTATGTATGTAAATGGGGTTTTTGTATTGTCAGATGTGATTCCATTGCTAAGATGGATTGATCATATGGGAGGAGATTTGAAGACCATGAAGAGAATTGGATTCTATCTTTGAGAGTTGGGTCCAAGAACCTCTCTGTAATTGATGATGAATTCGTTTATGACCACACAAAGCAAACTGTCATCAAGGCAGCAATATTGGCATGCCTTTAAATTCATGTTACAAAATTTTATAATATGTAAAAAGGTAATTCCTAACATATTCATGAAAAAACACCTTAGCCTAAATTTGCAACATATTCATTTGAAAAAGGTAAATCCTAGCAAGAATTCAAAAGTTCAACTTAATTCATTATTCAGATGAAAAATTTAAGACAAGATCTGGTTGCAATTCTATTTATTCATTGATTTCCCCTAGTGTTCAAGTGTCATAGTCCCTCTATTATTCTGTAGGCAAGTTTGAACCTTTAAGGCAAAGAACTAAAGAATTCCAGGCAAGTGTTGACCCTCACTCAGTTTCATTTCATTCCTAACCAAAATTTCCAAATCTTTTTTCTTATTTTGGCACAGGACTATGAGGTTACCTTTTAACACTGCCATATAAAATAGTATTTGATCCATAGAAGCCAACCCCAAATAGTTGTGAAGCAGGTTTCTTTGCTTTTGATTGGTGTTTGTGTGTGTATACATTTACATCAAAGGATAAATATATAATTGTGTTGGTGTATTGCAAAATATGATCCTCTCTTCTTATTATGTTCTAACATTAATCTTGCCCTGTAGGTCCTCATCTCAGGAGGCTCAGACACCACATCTGTTACCTTGACATGGCTCTTGTCTCTCTTATTGAACAATAACGCTTTGACGCATGCCTAAGAAGAGATAGACTCCAAAGTTGTTACGGAGAGATGGGTAGAAGAATCCGACATCAAGATCTTAGTCTACCTCCAAGCAATTGTCAAAGAAACTTTGTGTCTATGCCCTGTAGCTCCCTTATCAGTACCGCACGAGGCCAGGGAAGACTGTAATGTGGGTGGCTATCACATTCCTAAGAACACTCGTTTGCTAGTAAATCTGTGGAAGCTGCACCGAGATCCTCGTGTGTGGACGGACCTTGACAGATTCATGCCGGAAAGGTTCCTGACGAGCCACGCAGAGGTAGATTTTGGTGGTCAGCATTTTGAGTACACCCCTTTTGGCTCCGGTAGGCGATCTTGACCCGGGATCACATTTGCCACGTGACACACTTGACACTTGCTCGATTGCTCCAGGGGTACAACTTCACTACACCAAATGGTGAACTTGTGGACATGACTGAAGGCTTAGGCATGGCAACCCCACTAGAATTTGTTATCACCCCGCTAAACTCCATGCATGCAACATACAGCATATGTTGTGAGTGGACAGACCCTGACAGATTCATGCCGGAAAGGTTCCTGATGAGCCACGCAGAGGTAGATTTTGGTGGTCAGCATTTTGAGTACACCCCTTTTGGATCCGGTAGGCGATCTTGCCCCGGGATCACATTTGCCACGCGACACACTTGACACTGGTTCAATTGCTCCAGGGGTACAACTTCACTACACAAAATGGTGAACTTGTGGACATGACTGAAGGCTTAGGCATTACCATGCCTATGGCAACCCCACTAGAAGTTGTTATCACCCTGCGCCTTCCATCTACATTTTATGGAAATTAAACTCCATGCATGCAGCATATAGCATATGCTGTGAGCAAATATATATGATATATGTATATATTTGTATTGTGTTTGATGGAAGAAGGCAACAGGTGCCAAAATGAAATGGGAAAAAGGAAATTGAGATGGTGGGCGGGTCCCACTAGGTGATTTTCTTGGTTGGCTTTCATGTGGGTTGTCTGACGTTTTGAGAGGGGCTGTATTTGGTTGTGTATCATTATCAGATGGATATAATGATAAGGATGGAAGGGCAAGTTTCAAATGACACAATCTGCTTCGACATTCCGCAGGGCGCAGCCTCCGCTATCGCCTCAGGTGACAAGGTATGTTCATCCTCTCTCTCTCTCTCTCTTCTCTCTCCTTTTGCATGAATCGATCTTTTATATATGTTTCTTTCTTTCGTTCATCTCATCATTTGATTTGTTCTAACTTTGGTTCGTTTGATTCGGGCCTTTACCTTTGTTCCAATAGTGAAAAGTAGCTAGGGTTTTGGGTGTGTCACTGTGTGTGTGATGGCTATCAAAAGCTGAATGAATATATTATGGTTCTCTTAGTATTTTAATAAATGTGTGCCTTTCTACATGTGTCTTTCATGGCGATCGAGTCCATAGTCTATGGCAGGTACTTTTTTTTTTTTCCTTTCCCTAAGTCCACTCCAATCTCACAACAGCAGCAACCATACCCCTTTTCCTCATAATATTTTGCATTTTCACATTCAATCCCATGAAAATTAAGGACCCCTTCAGAATGTACAAACACATGGAAATCAAGAGCAGGGTTTAACAAAACAAAAGTTAATGGTTTTTTCTATTAATTTGCACAGGTCTTCTGTAGCAATGATCAATCAATCACTGCGGGTAATTGGCTCCCAAAAAAACACACAACAAAGTGTAGTGTAGTTAACATAAAGAGTGGAAGACAAAACTATATATAATAGTGGATGCCACATATAACCTAAAAGTCCCACTACTTCTTCAGTACTCCAAGTTCAGCCTCCTATATATATATATATAGTCACCTCATCTCCACATATTTTTGTCATCTGTAATCATCAAATTTTAGTAGCTATATAAACAATGAATGTAAAAGAAGTTGCAGTTTTCTGTTCTCTAGTAAACTGTTCTCTTCATTTTTTATTTGTGCCTGTGAAAATTTCGCACTCTTTAATTGATAAATTTATTGTTATTAGTTAGTTGTCTTATGCACACTGCACATGCGCACAATTATTTATTGGTGGTAATAAAAATTTATAGTTATTAGTTAGTGCACGCAGCACATGCGCATAATTATTTATTGGTGGTGTTATACTTATTAGTTAGTTGTCTTATGCACGCTGTACAGACGCACACTTATTTGTTGGTGGTGATAAATTTATAGTTATTAGTTAGTTGTCTTATGCACAATGCACAGGGGCACAATTATATTAGCTATAGAATTTGAAAACATCGTGTTAAAATTTTGCACTCTTATAATTCTTTTTTGCGCATGTTAAACTCAAGGGCCTCACATTTGAAAGTTCGCCTAGGGCCTCTCAAAATATTTGGAATCTCAAAGCCGGCCCTAGTTCGGGAGAGAGAACACGAGAGAGAGAGATGGCTATGACAAAGGCTAAGGAGATTGTTTCCTCCAATCCAGTTGTCGTCTTCAGGTTGATTTCTTGTTTTTTGATCTATCTTTATACATGTCTATTCCTTAATTTATAGTAAATCTACAAATCTATTGATTTGATTCGTTGATCTTCTGATGTATATGGATTTATGTATGGATCGGCAGTAAATCGTATTGTCCGTACTGCGTGACCGTTAACTTGTTCGCAGAGCTTGGAGCCACTTTCAAGGCTGTTGAGTTGGATCCTGAAAGTGAGTCCTCTCTCTCTCTCTCTTTATATATATATATATATACTCATAATATGTTTATGTCAGTATTTATGTGTGATAGATTCACTGATTCTTCTATGATCATTTTAGTCAATTTCATATTAATCATGAATGAATTGGAGAATAGTGTAGTATATATGTTTGTAGGAATGGCTTGAATTCTGTGTGTGAGACTACTTTAGCAATACTATGGACGAGGAAAAAAATTATTGGGAGTTGGGACAAATTATTTTTTTAATAAATTAGATGCATAGGGATTAGGGATTCAATTACTTAAAAAAAGAAGATAGCATTGGGATTCAATGATTTATTCATTGTGTCTAATTCACATGGCCTGTATCAATCATGAATAACTAGATATCCATAATTCCATTGGGATTGTTTGATCACGAAGGCCTTGCATAAATGAGGCTCATTTTAAAGAATTCTAAAGATGGTCTGTTTGAAGAACTTATGATTGAGCCATTCAAATTCCCTTTTTGTCGTCTTCATATTGTGTAATGATATCTACCTTTGTGGAAATGGCTTTTTTACTCTCTACGATTCTATCAATTACTTTGAAGTCTTTGTAAAGTTAAAAAAAGAAATTTTCAAAGAAAATTTCTTTTTTATGGACGTAAATTTAAGATTTGTCCCTCATATCTAATTCAGGAGAGAGTGTGTGTATCAATCATGATAACAAAATATCCATAATTCCATTGGGCTTTGATTGTTTGCTCACAAGGACCTTGTTATAAATGAGATTATTTCATTAATTGGCAGTGTCTTTCCGATGCCACTGATCTATATATGTGTGTGTGTGTGTGTGTGTGTGTGTGTATATATATATATGCAGGGATAACACATTTCAAAAAGTACTCATTCAATGGTGCTTCTAATTTGTTGTTGTTGGTTGGAATGATTAATGTTTTTGTTGGTGTTGCATCTTGTGATATGTATATGTATTAATACAAAATCACCATAGGGATGTTGCACGATTATGTGAAGATTGAATGGCTCTGTGTTTTACATAGCATTTTCAAATGTATGAATCTGTTATTGCGAATTGGCCAATTACAAATAATAGTTTTCACCACCCATAAAGCTAAAGTCGAATGCTACCAAATAAACAGTGATGGTACCTCCCAGTCTTTTGATAACTCTCCATTTAAAGAAAATCCAAGGATAATCTCTTCGAAAAAAGTATGATTAAGGCTCTATTTGTTTCGACGTAAACATATTTTTTTTTTCTTTTTCGGGTAAAGTATTTTTTTATTTTTATTTTTTTAGTGTTCGGCAAAGGTCTACCTCAAGGTTGAGGTCGAATCTATCGGGCGGGACATGTAAAATAACTCATCTAAAATTGATGGATAAGTTATTTTTATTAAATTTTAATATATTTTTTTTCTTGGTAAATATTTTACTGACAACCGAACACCAGAAAATAAAAAAATATTTTACTTCCCCTCCAAATGTGCCTTTTTTTGTAGCTTTTCATAAATCTGATGCTACCATGGATGGTCATTTAGTGAATGGGACAGTAGGCTAGTACCCATGGGTATATGGATCAACAGCTTTGACATTGGTATACATAGAGGAGATATTGTTGTCGACTTGCATGGTTCATCACTTCGTGCATTTGTACAAGCAAAAGCTTTGTGTGTGTGTGAACAATATATTGTGCATATGCAATGATCAATTACAAATTTGCATATTTTGCATTTTGAAGGCTATGGAAGTGAGGTACAGTCGGCATTGCGCGAGTGGACTGGACAGCGGACTGTGCTAAATGTGTTCATTGGTGGCAATCACATTGGGGGCTGTGACAGTATGGCCTTTTTCCTTTCCCACAATTGTCGCAATTTCAAATGTAGTTGTTTTTTCCTTTCCTGTGTTAATACTCTCTCTCTCTCTCTCTCTCTGTGCAGCTAACTGGTATGCACAAGCAAGGAAAGCTCGGCCCTTTTCTGACCCAGGCTGGAGCTGGAGCTGGAGCTGTAGCTGTTGGTAAATCATCTTATTATATATTTCCTATATATATACAAAGCTGGAGAGTCCCTGTAACTCCAATCTCTACTGGATATGACCGGTGCTAACAGCTTTGTGGATCAACTTTGAGATAGGTCACCTTGTTACCGATAGTCAGATACAATACTTATATCCCATTATCATTCTTAAGCAGTTGAAATTGAACCCAACCTTTCTATAAGTTTGCTTGGTGTATGCGCATTGGTTCAGTACACAACATCATATCTGTCCCAAAAATAGGTCCCACGTGAATACAATTATATTCTTTTTTCTGTTTTTATTATCTCTAACGAAAATGTGTATATGCGTAAGTTCTAATAAGAATAGTATAATATTATTATGTATCTCACTAAATGTCATATAAAATTATTTATTTTAAGTTCTTATAAAGAAAAAAACAAAGAAATAAAATATTTGGTCAATATAAATTTATTAAACTTATTATACCATTTAATAAAAATAAGGGTAATATATATATATTTTCTTGAAAGGTTAAGCAAATACACAGGCCAATTCCTCTTTCATAGAGGCTCAGATATTTCGTTTGAAAGGCAAGAAAAAGTAAAGTTTGAGATGAAAATTTTACATTCTTAGAGTAAGCTACGTTAAATGTGTCAATGCATTACCTTCTAATAAGAATAGTATAATATTATGTATTTCACTATATGTTTTATAAAATTATTTATTTTAAATTCTTTTAAATAAAAAAATACTTAACCAATATAAATTTATCAAACCTATTATCCCATTTAATAAAAAAAAATTACAACTTTTTATTTAATTTAATTTATTTATTTTCTGAAATACATATACTCATGCCTTCGTGAAGGTTCAAATACCCAATCTCTCCTCAGGGGAGGAGAGTTTGTATCATCTGGGTTATTACCTATTTGGTAAAATAAGAACAATTTAGATAAATAATATTCATTTGGTTCCAAAATAAATGTCCACATTTCTATTTTTCAAAGTCCCAACAAAATATATATAAAAAGTCAAAGTACTATTTTTTGTAACATACTATCTTAATTAAAAAGTCGAAAATATATATATATATTTGGTAACATTTTCAATTCAACATTTTTACATTGAATTTATAAAAAGTAAAACATCACATCCCTGAAAAAACTATTAGGTATAAATTTGATAATTCCACTACCAATACAATAAAAAGTTAGATTATCAAAAGTATTCATCTGGTTTCAAAATGTATGTTTTAATAATTTTTTATTATATTAATAAGAGTGAAGTTTCAAATATGTCCTTATTAAAAGTTAAAATTGTGCTCCTAATTACTTGTTTAGTTAAAAGAATAGTTTGGAAATATTAATATTACATGACACATTTATTTTGGAAGGGAGGAATATTTTCTTGTAAATTGTCTAAATCTTGAAATATCTTACAATTTTTTAGAAAAATTGTAATGCTAAGTATAATTCATTCACTTCAGAAAAAATTGTAATGCTAAGTATAATTCATTCACTTCACTTTCCTTAACTAGAATTTTCATCTAACAAAACCAAAGAAAAAAAAAGGCTAAATGAAGAATTTTTAATGTTAAAAAAAATTGATGGTAGGCTTTTATACAAGTTTAAGATGTTTAATTTTCGGATGATGTGCTGGTTAGGAGGCAGAGAATATTCAAATTTTAAACATATACACATCTGGGAGGGAGAGAATATTGTTATTAAATCTGTCGGTCGTTTAAGTCGGTGGCAAAGATTGCTCTGCCTCTCTCTATATAAAATAGCGTATTGTTCGCATTAATTGCATTGCACTGAGTATTGGGAGAGGCTGCTCGCTGCTTGCTCTGGTAGCCGCAACAAGTGCCTACTTTCTAGACATTTCAAAGTGAAACAAGAAAATCACAGTCACTTTCATGGTGTTCTTACTTGCCAAAAGATACTAACAATGATTCATTCTCAGAAATCATGTGAGTCTCACCGTCCTATTTTCATGTTATCTTGATGAATTAATATGATTAATCTTTCTCATGTTTTTTTTTTTTTTTTTTTTTTTTTGTCGTAATTCAAGAAAAATGATAGTAGTATTTTGATTTCAATTTAAATTGGGTTTAGGTTTCCAATTTTATTTTTCACTTTTGAATCGAATCAATTGAAAATGGGGCAAATGCTTTCAATTTTCGGAATTCAAGAAAAATTTTGTATCGACATTAATCAGCTGCTGCCTGAGGATGTGGTTATTGAGATCCTCTTAAGGCTGCCCGTGGAATCACTGATTCGGGCCAGAGCAGTATGCAAAAATTGGTACACTGTCATCATAAACCCTAGTTTTGTTACTAAGCACTTCAACCACCATGCCAACCCTGATCGTCTTTTTGTTAACCATTTTGACAACATTTCCAAGTAATATTTTTTGTCATTGTACCTTGATGAAACACTCTGGACCGGTTCTGCCCCGGTGTATCAGGATGTGGTGGTGGATATGCCTCACCACCTAGGGGTCAGTCACTACAAGGGCATACTGGGTCTGTACAATCACTATGAATCCCACAACCGAAGAATTTAGGTTCCTCCGGGTACCCCCACTTAACTTTCCACCCAATGTGGTGATTTTCCAAGGTGCTTTTGGATTTGGTTTGGATCCCATTACTAATGATTACAAGGTAATTTGGATTTTGGACACTGCGGATGAGGTTAGACATATGATGTGTGGTCGTAAGGTTGCTGTGTATACTCTATCTACTGATATCTTGATGTTGATTTGCCTCATTCTGACACTGAGACCCCTCAGTGTAACACATGCATTAATGGTGTTTATCACTGGCTTACATATGTCTACAAACATCTTCCCGTGATCCTTTCATTTGACATGGGGAATGAGTTGTTTCACAAAATACGTGATGTTCCAATTCTAAGTTCAGTTCGTGCTGTTCTTGCAACGTACAATAACTCTCTTGCTCTGATTGTCATTCTAATTTCCATCCAATTGTTGACATTTGGGTGATGATGGAAGAAGGGTGTTGGGCAAAACAATTAACTTTTGAAATCCTTAATGATGTGGGATTGCCGCTCGGGGTTTGGAAGAATCGTCAGCTTATTATGCAAACTGATTGTGATGGTCATGTAGCCTTGTATGATCCAGACACTAATGAAATTAAGGACAAACTAATATATTACATGCATTACACACATACCAAAGCCTTTTCATATTCTTCATAAATATGACAAGGGTCTTGTGGTTTTATTAGGAACGGAACATAAAGTCTTATGGTCTGTCTCTATTTCTGCTCGCAACATATGCTATATGCTGAATGCTTGGAGTTTAATTTTCATAAAGTGTAGATGGAAGCCGCGGGGTGATGACAACTTCTAGTGGGGTTGCCTTAGGCATGGTAATGCCTAAGCCTTCAGTCATGTCCACGGGTTCACCATTTGGTGTAGTGAAGTTGAACCCCTGGAGCAATCGAGCCAGTGCCAAGTGTGTCACTTGCGTGGCAAATGTGATCCCGGGGCAAGATCGCCTACCAGAGCCAAATGGGGTGTACTCAAAATGCTGACCACCAAAATCTACCTCTGCGTGACTTGTCAGGAACCTTTTCGGCATGAATCTGTCAGGGTCCGTCCACACACGAGGATCTCGGTGCAGCTTCCACAGATTTACTAGCAAACGAGTGTTCTTCGGAATGTGATAGCCACCCACATTACAGTCTTCCCTGGCCTCGTGCGGTACTGATAAGGGAGCTGCAGGGTATAGACGCAAAGTTTCTTTGACAATTGCTTGGAGGTAGACTAAGTTCTTGATGTCGGACTCTTCTACCCATCTCTCTCTGCCAACTTTGGAGTCTATCTCTTCTTGGGCATGCTTCAAAGCATGGTTATTGTTCAATAAGAGAGACAATAGCCATGTCAAGGTAACAGATGTGGTGTCTGAGCCTCCTAAGATGAGGACCTGCAGCGCAAGATTAATGTTAGAACATAATAAAAAGAGGATCGTATTTTGCAAATACATCAACACAATTATATATTTATCTTTTGATGTAAATGTATACACACACAAACACCAATCAAAAACAAAGAAACCTGCTTCACAACTATTTGGGGTTGGCTTCTATGGATCAAATACTACTATTTTATATGGGAGTGTTAACAGGTAACCTCATAATCCTATGCCAAAATAAGAAAAAGATTTGGAATCTGTATGGTCATGTTAAGATTTGGGAAGTTTTGGTTAGGGATGAAATGAAACTGAGTCGGTCAACACTTGCTTGGAATTCTTTAGTTCTTTGACTCAAAGGCTCAAACTTGCCGACATAATACAGAGACCATGACACTTGAACACTAGGGGAAATCAATGCATAAATAGAATTGCAACCAGATCTTGTCCTCCTAAATTTTTCATCTGAATAGTGAATTAAGTCAACTTTTTCAATTGATCGATGAAGCCAACAATTTTTCAAATGTATATGTTGTAAAACTCTGTCAGGACAAATATGAACATAAATTTAAAGAACGTATATGTTGTAAAACTTTGTCAGGACAAATATGAACATAAATTTAAAGACATACCAGTATTGTTGCCTTGATGACAGTTTGTTTTGTGTGGCCATAAACGAATTCATCATCAATTACAGAGAGCATCACTTCTATGAAGTCCTGCTCATCACCCCTCTCACTCACAATTCTCTTCTGTAGATGTTCTTGAACCCAACTCTCAAAGATAATATCCATTTCTTTTCCAATTCTCTTCATGGCCTTCAAATCTCCTCGCATATGATCAATCCATCTTAGCAATGGAAATGGAATCACATCTGACAATACAAAAACCCCAGTTAAATGCATAAATTCCTTTATAACTCTTTTGAATCGCCTTGTCTCTTCATCGTCTGCGCTCTCCGAATATCTCTTACCTGCAATCATCTTCACAACAATATTCAAAGTAAATTGTTCAAGCCATTCACTAATCACCACCCTGTTGCTCTTCTTGGCAAGCAAGTACAACTCTTTAATGCTAGTGTCCAATTCCGAGACTCGGACATGCCTGAGCGTGTCAAGTTTGCGACTTGACAGCAACTCGAGGAGTGCTATTTTGCGTATGTCACGCCAGAATGGCCCGTAAGGCATGAACCCGAAGCCTGCAAAGTTGTACCCAAGGTACTTGCCGGCGCTAGAAGTTGGGCGTGAGGCGAAGGTTATGTCATTAGTGGTGAAGCACTCTTTGACAGCCTCCCAACTGCTCACCACGAGTGCACGGTGCAACCCGATCCGGAGGGTGAAGATGGGGCCGTATTGGTCGGTCATGGCTCCGAGGATCCTAGCCACCGGGGTTTTGCTGGCTAGTTGGTGGAGGTGACCTAGTAAAGGCCATGCACCTGATGGTTCAGGAGGGAGTGATATGATGGTCTTAGTAGTGGTTTGGCTGTGATTTCTTGATCTCCATAGACTGTACAATAGCAACAATGCTATGAGAGTACCAATTGCTTGTGGAAGAGAGAGGAAATCCATGAAGCAGTGTTGTTTGAAGAATGAGATCATCGCTACAATTTGGTGCTTCAATGTCTACGACAATTGTAGCGGTGTACCGTCAATTTTGAATAGAAACATATAACAATGACTTTTTGTCTTTCTTGCTCTCTTTCTCGGTAAGCGAAACACTCCACGGGTCAACATGAATAGTATTCAATGTTGTATAGTAGGATGGGAAAGGATCCTCTGTGCTTCAATTTAATGTGTTGCAGTAAAGGCTATTACATGATTTAATTGAGGCTGCTCTAATGATGGTACATTTTTCTTCGCTATCCTCTTACCATATCTGGTATATAAAAGCAAACAAAACAAATAGGCACATGCCTTGTCATACGACTCTTACACCCTTTTCTAAATTTCTAATATACTACACTAATTCAATGGCGTATCAATTTCAACGTTCAACGCTTCTTGTGATATTTTTTTATCACCGCTTAGGAAATACGGACACTTTTATAAATGAGTCGTATTGATGTCATATTGATGTCATATATCGACATTTTTTGAACGTTTTTTAATTACGTGTCCAACACTTCATATATGTGTCCATAAATAAAAATTAATTTTATTATTTGGGACACTTCAGCGACACTTTTCGAATACTTCATCAATACTTTTCGGACATTTTATCGATACTTTTCGGATACTTTGTCGACACTTCTCGTACATTTCTTACACAAATCTATTCAGTAATCTTAAAAATAATATAAATACCAATATGGTAAAGCAGTGAAATAATGGTATATATGATATAAAAATGATTACAATGACATAATTTCATTTTTTAATTCACTTCAAAGCAACCCTTAATATAATAATTATAAATGAATTAATGTTTTATAATACTATTGCTGAATAGATGTATACTAATAAAAATTTATATTATTATGTAACCGTGCTCATGCCATACCTGTGCCTTACTTTTTCAAAATTTGACGTGTCGACCTATCCATGTCATATCGTGTCCATATCTCGTATCCGTGCTACATAAACCCTCACAAATCAACTTATAAATTTCTTAAAAATCAAAGTGTTGACATTTTAAATCTTTTTTTCCTATAGAGTTTAAAGAACGAAAAATGATATGAAAACTGAATGAGAGGTTGAACTTGACATGGCTCGGCCATCTCAGATTATTTCTTAAAAGTATAAACACGTAAGATGTTCCTACCTCTTCGTTTTTCTCTCCTCTCTTCCTCTAATTCTCTAATTTTCTTATGTACTTAATCTTATCTTCCATTCTGATTTTGTCTCTTTCGCAAAATTGAAGATAAAATAAAAAAAATTAAAATTCTTCATGTTTTGTAAATACAAAAGCATATAATAATGATCACTATAATAACTTACAAGTGTAGCGATCAACCGTCAATTATGAATAGAAACATATAATAATGATCACTAGAATAACTTTACGTCTTTCTTCTTCTCATTGTCGTAAGCGAAACACTCCACGGATTGACTCAGGCTTCCTTGTTTGGGCTCCGATGCTTGGGCCGTGTTTGTTGGGTTCCTGACTGTCTATTTGGGTTAAACCCATTATACATTTCTTATATATTTATACAACAAGTTTAATTTTCGAAAAAAAAAAAAAAACATAAATAATATTCAATATTGTATAGTAGGATGGCATAGGATCCTCTGTCCTTCAATTTATTATATTGCAATAAAGGCTGTTAAAGGCTGCACGGCCTGCATCGATGACAGTACATTTTTCCTCCTTCTCCTCGTATCATATCTGGTATATAAAAGTAGGGTTGTAACTTGGACGGGCTAATCCAGCCCAACTCAAAATTTTAAAAATAGGGTTTAAATTTACAAATCGGGTTTATGTTCAGGTTGAATTTTGTCAAAACCCAGACATATTCGGGTTGGGTTCGAGCTCAACCCGAACCCAACTCGAAATTCAATTTTTTTTTTTTTTTTTTTTTTTTCTCTCTCCGCTGCTTGAGAGTTGAGAGACAGCAGTGAGATCCAGCGGTGTTAGGAACGCTTCCAGAGACGGTGACCTCCTCCGCCGGAGAGACGAGAATATCACAGCTGATGCCATTCAAATTCCAAACTCTCTCTCTCTCTCTCTCTAAATATATGTATATGAATAGATATATGTATATGTTTCTCTCTCGAGAACCTATATTGCAATAAAGGCTGTTAGAGGCTGCACATGTAAACTATAATTATTCGTGTTAAACTATTCATCACAAATAAATATGAATCTCATAATCTTAGAACTTCATGATTTTCACATATCTATAATGCATAAATAAATAGTTAGATTTAAATACCTCAATTCATGATATCAAACCTTGTTGAGATTAAATCCAACTTCTAGATCCTTTAATTACGAACTAATCTGCAACTCTGATCAACAGGCAAATGTGGAAACTGGTTTCTCTCTCTTGGCCTTTTGTACACATAAAACTTTTACGTGTTGTATCATTAATTGTACATAATTGATGGAGTATATGCACTTTTATAAAGGCAGAGAGAGGACCAGTTTTCCTTATAGTAACATAATTCTACTTTCCATCAAAGTAAGGAATAAGAAAGGAAAACACTTCTCCAATAAGTAATTACTAAAAAGTAATTATAAGTTGACCAAAAATAAATAATATTAATTAATATCTATTTACTTACCCACCAAGTAATATGTCACATGTCCAAATCATGTGGGTCACAATTAAATAAATAATCTTACATTCTCCCACTTGGCACATATGATAATTTCTGTAGTGGTTTAGTAAAATAGTCATTAATGTGCACCATATATCAGATTAACTCATTAAATTGGTCATCATAAATACCATGGTAAATAAATTACCAATGCGAGTCATGGCGGTTATATATCCTTAAATGACACAGTCCCTTCCATGTACCACAACACTAGTAATATATTCAATATAGTCTATAAATGAGAAGTATCAATAATGATCTAACAATAATGTCTTTTCCAACACTATTCCTATTACCACTTAGTAAAGCAATACGTACATGTTCATTAATTAATAGGAAATATCAGAAACACATTTAATTAGCGCAAAATGTCAAATATATATAAGCAATATTTAAGCAATCCACAATTAAAAAATAATCATCATTGACTACATTTAAGACTCATTCTTTCAACATGTTCCATAAATGTCTTGGATGTTAGTCCATTCATTAATGGATTGCAATCATAAATTGTGTACTTATAATTTCAATAGACATTCGTTGTTTCTAAATATATTTTTTAATGATAAAGTATTTCAACTTTAGAATACCTATCATTTTTCATACAAGAAGATCAACAATTGTAACATAAACTTCAGCAATCTGAAAACGGTACCCATAACTCCAAGTCCTGAAATAAATTCTACAACTATAAATTATAGCCTCAAAGCATGCTACAAATTAAAATTTCATAATAGACAAAGTAATTATAAATTACTTTGCACTTTTTCATAATATTGTTCCTCCAACCAAATCTTCTAGAACTCTTTTAATATATATTTTATGAGACAATTCTAAAAACAAATCAATGTGATCTATAATGAAATATTTCTATTCCTATCACATATATCACATAGGATGCCTCATCTATATATTTCACTTCAAAGTTCTTAGAGATAACTTTTAGTTTCATAAAATAAACTAAGATCACTACTAACAAATAAAATATCATCAATATATAGAATCAGAAATATAAACTTACTCCCACTAACCTTCTAGTATATACACTGATCAACAGTGTTTTTCTTTAAACCAAAAGAAATAATGGTATCATTAAACTTAATATACCATTGTTAGGAAGCTTGTTTAAATCCATATATTGACATCTTAAGTTTACGGACTATGAATTTTTTACCCTCTAATATGAACTCTTCAAGTTGTTCCATATGGACTTGCTCTTATAAACTCCTATTCATAAAAATTGTATTCACATCCATTTGATGTAACTCTAAATCATAATAAGCTACTAATGCCATAATATTTCAAAAGATTCCTTCTTAAATACTAGAGAGAAGGTTTCTTTATAATTTCTTCATTCATGACACTGATCCATTTAGTAAAATCATTACTGTTAATGACTTGTGAATATGTAACCGGATCCGTATATATCTCACTATATATCAAAATCAGATTCTTACAGATATATCACATAGTCATCCGGAATAGCAGATCTCCTTTCTCTTTGAGATCGTCTTAATGTTATTCCTTATGATTCTTCTACAATCTATTCATTGGTGACAATCTCATTATAGAGTTGTTGATCATTTAATTGTTCTTCGTTATTATACGGTTCAACAATTGAAGGAACAATTATTTCCTTATAAGTTATGGGTAAAGATATTTGTACCCTAACTTCTGAAATGATCAAATTCTTATTTTTATCACTCCCACTGATTTCACCATTCTTAATGAATCTGACATTACTTGTTTCAATAATTATCGTACTATGTTTCGGATAGTAAAACTTGTACCCTTTAAATTACTTAATATCCACAACATTATGAGTAACGAGGAATTACTTAACATACTCATAACCAATTCCATAAGAGTATGATTACGCCTTACAGCTACACGCTTCTACTGTGGCATATATAACAAAGTGTATTGAACAAAAATGGCATACATTTCAAGGAGTTTAACAAACGGTTAGAATATTAACCTGTTTCATCATACTTTACATAATATTCACCACCTCTATATGACCTTATGATTTTAACTTTTTATCTAGTTATTTTTCAATCTCATTTATGTATACTTCAAGAGTACCCACTACTTGAGATTTTTCACACAACAACTAGATTATCTATAACGTGAAAAATCAACTATAAAGGCGATAACATACTTTTCTCTTCCAAAAAATGGAACATCAGAAGGTCTACAAATAATTTCAAGAAGCTATGTACTTATTGTGGCTCATTTCTTTGTGCGTTTAGTTTGTCTATCCTTAATACAATTTACACACACATCAAAATCAGTAAAGTTTAGATTCAGAAGAATCACATCCTTTACTAATTTTCATAACCTTTCACTAGATATTGACCTAGTCTTTTATACCAAAGATAAATTTTCTATTAATTG